GCAGCCTTTTCTGTCAGAAAGAACCTGAGTTGCATGCTAAAAAGGTTAACCTTTGCATTTGGAAGCAAGGCGAGCTTTGTGTCCGAAAATTGTGGGGGCCGCTTGCCATTTCGACTGGAATCCGAGTGGGTTGCGTCTTTGTCAACAAAACAGGCATTGACACACAACGGGCCTGGCGAGAACGTGTGCAACTTTTGCTGTTTTATGGTGGGGTGTTGTTGTTTTTTTAAAAAAAGTTGCTTCGGGCTTCTTATAAGAAACCCGGTTCAAATAATTACAGGTGTTACTTCAATATAGGTAGTGCTTGACTGATACGTTCATTTAGTGTCCGCTCGAAGTTACGACGGCACTGAAAAAAGCCGTGTTTCATACTTACGAACATGGTAGCCTTTTCCCTGTGGTTGTGTGCTCAAAATTCAGATACGTGGCCCACTGCTTCGTATTTATGATGGGCGCAGCGTCCCAAGGTCACATGATCAAAATTCGGAGGCTTGGCCCACTAGTTCGTATTTATGACGGACGTAGTATTCTGGGGAGAATATCCTGGGGAGAATTAAGTTTCAGCTTAATTCACTTAAGGACCGGGAGAAGAAAAAATAAAACGGGCCAAAACTCACCTCACGAACGTTTCACTCAGCAGCCCAAAATTAGGGGCTCAATTGTGCGTGGAACTCGACAGGGAGTCCTCAACCTACGACCCATCCATTTAGTGACCATTCGACGCTACAGCCAGGCTGGGGAAAAAAAAGCAGCTATCCTCGTCCTTATGGCTGTTTCAGGGGTCTGACGGTCGCCCTTGGCAACTCCTCCCCTCAACAAAGCCCGGTTCACTTAATGACCAGGCGACGTCGTTCACAAACAGCAGCGATTCGCTTAAGGACCGCGCCAAAGGCAATTTATGCGACGTACGATGTGTAGTGAATCTACAGGCAGGAACGGACAGTCTCCAAGGGCCGCCCCAGCAACGCTGCCCTGCAGTAGTCTAGACCGAGGAGGGGAGGGTGCTGTGAATTCCTTTGGGGTTCTGGGAACTGTCCCCCACCCCCCCCAAAGAGGCAGGCGGCCGTAACTGAGAAGCAGCTGACCCGTTAACAAGCCAATTAAGGTGAAACCAGGAGGCCGATCGTGAGCTGATTGCTAATGAGAACGGCGGTTAAATATTTCCAACTTGGAGATGGGTGTCCATTGTGCACAGCGGAGGAGGAATTTGTCGTGTTGGGTTTTGTATTTCGCATTGCACACTTCCCTCCCTCCCTCCCTCGGCAGCTGCAGCCAATGCATGCACTAGCCAGCTTTCCCAATCCTGGTTTGTGGGGAAAAAACAACAAGCCGGCATGGACCAGGCGGAATGATAAACCACAGTTTGCTAGGAGGAGGAGGAGGAGGCAAAGGTGGCAGAATGTCCTGCCTCAAACGATGACGTACAGAGGAAGCCCCCGTTATAAAGCGAGGTGACAAAAACCGTGTGTACGGCTTAATGAATGCCGGCTTGCAAGAGATGAGGACGATGGGAGACGTAGTCCACGCCAGTCACAAATTGCTTGCTCTGGAGGGGACCAAACTCCATCCAAGTTGCTGCCAAGGGAAATTTCCAAGGGTGGTGAGCTTCATGCTCTCTGACCCTTTGGCCGGGCTGGGAATGATGGGAGCTGGAGTGGGGCCCCTAGATGGGGACTTTCCCGCCTGTTTTTCCTAGAAAAAAAAAAATTAAGGTTTCCTCCCCCCTCTCCTTTCTGCCTCATTTCGATCCCTCCTTTGCAAGAAAAGCTTTTCTGCCCGATTAAATGAATTTAAAAAGCACAATTGTTTCACTTTCCCCTTTCTTTGCGAGTCTGTTTTTCCGGGCCTAGAAATAAAACCAGCTTTATTTTCTCAAGCATTCCAATCTTTTGATGAAGACCACGCCTTAAATATACCTTGTCTTCCTACCTCTTATTAAATTTTTCCTTCCCTCTCTAGCCTCAAAAACCGTCCGTCTCAAAATATCCTTTGCAAAGAGTTCAAAGAGACTCACAAACAGGTTTGCAAAAAATGTATTTATAAAAGCAAGTCCTCGAATTACGACCGTGATCGAGCCCCCAATTTCTGAGGCATTGGCAAAGTGAGTTTTGTCCCAATTTACGACCCTTCCTGCCGCCGTTAAGGGGATCGCGGCAGTTGATCCTAGGTGAATCCTAGGTGAATCCTAGAATTAAGACCACACTCGAGCCCAACGGTTGTTAAGTGAGACATTTGTGAAGCGAGTTTTGCCTCATTTTTACAACATTTCTGGCCATAGTTGTTAAGCGAATCACTGCAGTTATAAAGTTAAGTCACATGGTCGTTAAGTGAATCCGGCTTCCGCGTTGACTTTGCTGGTCGGAAGGTCGTAAAAAGGGGATCGCGTGAGCCCTGGGACACGGCGACCGTCATAAATATGAGACAGTTGCCAATCGATTTTGATCACGGGACTGCGGGGGACCTGCAACGGTCATAAGCCTGAAAAACGGTCCCTTTTTCCCCCAGGGCCGTCGTAACTTGGAACGATCACTAAACGAACTGTTGGGGGACTATCAGTTATGAAGCTACGTCTCCCGAAGTTGCGGGTTCTCCATCGCTGGAATATTTCATGGGAAAAAAAAAATGCAGTATATGAAAACTCCTGCCTCGGGCAGGGCGGGTTGGACTAGAGGACCTCCAAGGTCCCTTTCAACCCGATGAATTTTCCAGCCATTCAAGAAACGGGGAAAGGGCAAACCCCGATATCTCCCGCCTGTATTTTTATAGTCACTGTTTGTTTATAGTCAGTTTTCTCTCTTGCTCCAGAGACCAATTCGTACCCCAAATTATGACGAATTATTTCATAATCCCGCTGTTTGAACCAGATGTGGCTCTATAGTTCGTCTTTCTTTTCAGAAGTTTCTTTGGGGGCTGTTTCGGCCTCTTTGGGGTTCGGTCCCGTTTCGGGGAGCCATTGGGTTTCTTCGGTTTTGAAGAGCATCCGAACCAGGTCATCGGCTTGGATTCTCTCCTGAGTTGAAAAAAAGGGGGAATGAGAGAGAGAAAACGGGGGCGTCCATTTTAATTGAATAACACAACCCGTGGACTTCAACTCCCAGAATTCCTGAGGCAGCGTCCATTTTGCCAGCCCCTGCGAGGTAGGCCAGGCGAAGGATGGCAGGATTTACAAGAAATGTTTATAAAAGTCGACATAAAATTTTAGGTTTGACTCTCAATTCGTGGATGAGAGGGCCATTAAAAAAAAAAAAAGCTGAGATTTTTTTATTTTATTTTTAGCTTTGGGCCTTTTCATTTTTATCTTTTTTCGTTTTGAGTACAATTTTTTTCATTCAATATTTTTATGAAGGGACTGAAAACCAACACAAACCGCTCTTTGTTGAGAAGACGAAAAAGGAAGACATGAAAGAAAAAGCAAAAGAGGGGGGGGGGGGAAAGAAAGTCAAGAAGAAGCAGAAAGGAAGGGGAAAAAAAGGACTTTTGTTTTTAGAAGCCTTGAGAGGAAAAGTCGGGGACACTGAGGACTAGCTACTTTGTGACCCTCCAATAAAGAGAGGGAGAAAAAAAGTAAAGAAATACCGTAGAAAATGGGGGGAAAGGCGTTTTTTGCAGCCTTGAACAAATTTTTGCTTTTTATTATTATTTTCTTGCAAGCCCAGAGCGAATTCTTGAAGTGCAGGCAGAGCAAGTTCCAAGGCACATTGAGGACTAGAACCTTGAGCCCATCGTCCTTTTCTTTTTAAAACAAAGGCATGTGAACTAGATATGATTTTTTTTAAAAAAAATAGTCTTTGATTTCAATAATTTTTTAAAAAATCTCTTTTTTCCTGAGCTTCTCACGGCACGAAACCCCCTACCCGTCTCCTCTAGAACTTTCCTGCTGCACGAATTTCCCCTCCACTATCAAAAAAAAAACCCACACAAGGTCGAGATGGCTGCCATTTTGACTTTTTTGCCCACCACGGGGTCTGAGGAGGTGCTGCACTCACCCGTTCGCTATGGCGGGGGTCCAGGGTAAACCACAAGGCGATGGCGCAACGCTGGCCCTTCGTGACGGCTCGGACGCCGTGGGGGTTTTCCAATCCAGCCGAGAAGCCCACCGTCCGGCCGCACTGGGGCTTCACCTCTGCCTGGAGAGCAAATTGGGATCCACGCAAAAAAACTACTTTAGTAGATAATCCCCCCACCCCAAAATCCATCAAGGCCACCTTGGGGTTTGCTCTCCCAACCGATGTCGCTGATGCGCTGAATTTCTGTGGTTACGGGAGACTGGAAGTGAGCTCTGCCCCGTTTTACAACTTCTCTTGCTGTTGTTAAGTGAATCCTCATAAATACGAGTCAGTTGCCAATTTTGACCACGATATGGATAATGGGGACAAAAGTGGTGACGGTGAAAAACGGACCATAAACGCACCATAACTGGAAATCCAGAAATTCAGAGACTTACCGTGACGGTCGTGGCATCCAACTCGGTAAAATAAAACTCCCCTCCTTCGAAATCTCCGTTTAAATAAAGGATGGCGCTAGAAAGCAATAAATCTCTTTTATTGACTGGGAGATTAAACCCTGAGGAACCCCCCCAAAAATAAAAAATAAATTCTGATTTTTTCCTTGACTTAAGCGAACGGATCCTAAAAGGAGAAGCTTCCAGATCTTTCTGGAGAAAATCAGGTTGTTTTTATTGAGATGGTGTAAACGGGACAACGAGAACAACAATTGTAAATGGACGAAAAACATACTAGTCCTCAATGTTCAAGGCAGATTAAACTGGCAACTTAAGACCTGTGGACTTCAACTCCCAGAATTCCCCAGCCAGCTGGGAGTTGAAGTCCACAAGTCTTTAAGTGACTAGGGAACTCTGGGATTTGAGGTCCACAAGTCCTAAGGTTGCCAAGGTTGGACTGATCTAGGCCCATATTTTTCAACCACTACAACTTTTAAAACGGGGGGACTCCAACTCCCAGGATTCCCCTGCGGCAGGGGAAGATGGAAGCTTCAGACGACCCCGCCAAACTCACCTGTAGTCCCGAAAGGTGTACGCAGGGGGCTCCTTGAGGCACACCATGGCCTCGGCGTTGAGAATGCAGTTGTCGACGTGCACAGGGTGGCTGGGATCTGTTCGGCCCCCCTGTTTATCTAGGGGAGAGAGAAAGGGGGGAGATCCCTTTTGACCCCCTCCTCCCCCACAGCTCAATCTGGCCTTACCCCAAATCGGGGCATCCGGCGAGTTACGAATCCCACCCACCCGGCTGAATCAAATCCCCTTGGGTGGAAAAACAGAAGCTGAAAACGCAGCAGGTTTCTAGTCCTCATGGAGAGCCTGAAATTCTGAGCGAGGAAAAAACTTGGTGGGTTGGGAATCTTACCCCCTTTTCTACTCTCTCAGCCTCAACCTGCCGGCCTTTGTGTCTTCCAGGTTTTAAAAATCAATTCTCTTCCCCCCTCCCCCACCTCGCCGTTGTCCACCTGCTCACCTGCGATGGCCGTCCGGCACACCAGGTGAGTATAGGAGAAATGCAGAGGGACGTCCAGGCGGAAGTAAGACTCTATCACGTGGCGGACTTTCTCTGTGGCGTTGTAGTAGAGGTAAGCGCTCGGCATGGGAACTCTGCCTTCCTGCCCCAGCTGGGGTGGGGTGCGAGAGATCCACACGGAGGAGGAAAAATAAAACCAGGGTTACCCCAAATCTGAGACCCATTGGGGGAAGGGTTTTAGATTTAATTTTGGGAATTTAAAAACAAAAACAAATTGCCTCCTCCCACGAGCTTTGGACCTGTCTTTCGAAAGGCTGGGCTTCTAGTCCTCATGAAGGCCCTGGCTTTGGGCAAGGGGTTGGGCTAGAAGACCTCGAAGGACCCTTCTAGCTCTATATTTTTATGCTTTCGGAGACCAGCTTCCCAAATCCCAGATCTTTGCTCTTTTTTGGGGGGGGGGGGGGGGGGGGGGGGCTTACCTTGAGGGCTTTCAGGACAGTCACCCCATGAAAAGTCTCGCTGGGTGTGTGGGGCGAGGTCTGTCCCCTATAACCGTCGCCCGCCGAAGCAGCTGCCTGCAATACAAGGAGGGAAATTAAAATATCATAGAAACTTATAAACAAAGTTTGCATGATTAAGAAAAGAAAAATCCCAGAAGGAAAACTCCAATTTGTTTTGTTTTTTTTTGCTTTAGTCCCATTGGGGGGACTGCAGATTTAAAAGATGAAAATGCCCCCCCCCCAAAAAAAATGTATAAAAAAAGAAGAATTTTGGGTTCGAATTGGCCTCTTCATGCAGCGGGAGAAGGAAATGCTGCCATCTAGTGCTCACAAAACGAACTGCCGTAGGTTGTATGGGCGAGTCAGTCCTCAAACGTTCGATTGCAATTGAGCCCAGAAACTTAAAATATTCGTTAAGTGTTTTTTTTTGGGTCGCTCGCTCACGGGACCACGAAACGTGGTTTCCCCAAGGGGGGGGGGGGGGGCTCTGTGAGTGCAACCTGGGCAGGTATTCCAAAGACCATAGTGCTTGACTTACATTGGTCAGGGCTTGCAATGTCCGGCATTCTTCTTCGGAAAGGACTCCGTCCACCACCACACGCTGAGAGCCGTTCAGGGTCTTGGAGTTCATGGCAACCCTGAGCCCATCGTAAACCAATGGGCCCCCTTGGCAGGAAACAAAATCCTCGAGTTACAACAGTTCACTTAGCGACTGCACCGAAGTGACAACAGGGACCGTTTTTCTTTTTTTTGTGTGTGTAAAAAGTTTTTTATTTTTATGTTTCAAAAAACATCTCTTTTGGTGAACAGCGTGGTTCCAGGTTTTTATATTTCCATCCAAACATGAACATTCAATTTCATATCATATCATTACATTTCATAATTTCTGTCACATGATCTCTTTTTGACGACCAAAAGCCAAGGGGAAAGGCAGACTCACTTAACGACCGTGTGACTGACTTAACAACCACAGTGCTTCCCTCAACAACTGTGGGGGGGGGGGAAGAAAGGCCGTAAAAACGGGCAGAATTCCTCGGTGCGCTGTCTCGCTTAGCGGCAGGAATTTGGGGCTCAACGCTGGTCGTAAGTCGAGAACTACCTGATTTTAGCACCTTTGTGGTTTTCCGAGGCCTTCAGGTCCCAATTTTGGGGGCAGCTCACCTTCCCGTACGAGTTTATTCATGTCGGAAGATTCCTTCGTCTTCTCCTCCACCAGATTCTCGATCTCCTTCATGAGATTACCGATCTCCTCAGAGATCCGGGCCGCCGTCTCGCGTTCAACCCTGCGGAGACAGAGCGAAGGCAGGTTTCATCCTTCCGCGAGGCGACACCGAACCTGGGATTTCACCCTGCAATCCAGGTTCATTTTTCCTGCAATCCTGAAGAGATTCTCTCTCTCTCTCTCTCTCTCTCTCTATTTTAGCTATGTTATTGCTGTGATTTTATCCTGGTTAGTCCTTGGCTTATAGTGATTCATTTAGGTCTTACTTTTGTTTCTCCTGAAGCCTCTTGGGAATGACTTCTTCCGGGGTCCATGTGTCCTTTAAAGCCAAGATAAGGACGGTTAAAGAAAATAGCCACACTTTTCTGGACAAAACTTGTGTTTCTCAACTATGATGGTTTCAAGAGGAATGAATTTCAACTTCTAGAATCCCCCAGCCAGCTTGATTTAAGATGGATGGACTTCAATTCCCAGAATCCCCAGCCAGCATGCTTTAAGTTGCATGGATTTCAATTCCCAGAATGCCCCAGCCAGCATGCTTTAAGATGGACTTCAACTCCCAGAATCCCCGAGCTAGAATGCTTTAAGATGGATGGACTTCAACTCCCAGAATTCCTTAGTCTGCTTTAAGACATATGGACTTCAATTCCCATCATTCCCCAGCCAGCGTGCAATGCTGGGAGTTGGAGTCCACCCACCTTAAAGCCTAAATTCGAACCTTGCATTTTCTCAAAATATTCCACTTTCCTTTGAATTTTAAGTCCAACTTGTGGGTCTTAAGTCACTATCAAAAATGGCTATTTCAGGGCACAGCACAACAACACAAACACACACACACACACACACACACACGCATGCACGCGGCCCCCTTAAATCTGTCTATCCTATTTTTCAGTTCCTTGGAAAATAACACATTTTGCTTACCGGATCGATGAAAGGAATGCCAAAGATGTCATAGGCAAAATAGAGTAATTCCTTCTCTAAAAGACTCCGCCGGCGATAAATCTGGACTTTCTGCAGCAAAAAAAAAAAAAAAAAGCAGAAAATTGGGTCAAAATGGCTTCCATTTGGCTCCCTGCCCTGGGCACGGGGGCTGGACTAGATGGCCTCCCAGGTCCCCCTCCGACCTTCTCATCCTACGCTTCAGTGTGGATTCTTCTCCTGGGCGGCGGGGGGGGGGGAGGCTGGACTAGATGACCTCTGGATACACTTTCCACTTTTCTTCGTGAAAAGTTAACTGCCTATTTTACAGTGTCAGCCGAGGCCCGTGCCCAGATTTCTCTTCCAATGGGTCTGGGGGTTAAGGGACCCCTCAAAAGACCCTCTTTTCAAGCCTCTGTGTGCGTGTGTGAATGGGTGGGTGGGTGGATAGCGGGGGAGAAATCTTGCCTCTCTGGGCCCGATGTGTTCGGCCAGGTTTTCTCCCAGCATAGCTGCGTAATAAGCCACATTCTGCTTCATCACATTGTCGTTCGGGAAGAAAAGCAAGTAGGTTTTTGCGCATTCGACTGCCTTCCCATAGTGGCCACCTGTGACAGGGTGGAAGGAGAGCTTTAAGGGAAGAATGGAAATATATCACAATAATCGCCAGACATTCATTCCCATATACTCAGACGCTACCTGAACAGCTCTTAAGTCCTTGGTTAGGACCTGAACTGCTAAGTTTTAACCAAACCCAGACTGTGAATCGAATTGAACATTAAATATATAATAATAACGTAATAATATATATTCAGACATTAACCTAACGGCTCTTAAGTCCTAGATTAGAACCTGATTTTTTTTTAACCAATCCCAGATTGTGAATCAAATTGAAAATTAAATCTATAATAACAATAACAATAATAACAATAACAGCATATAAACACATACTTAGGTGTTACCTTAACAGTTCTTAACAGGTTACCTTAACAGGTTAGAAACCAACATGCCCCGAAACTCAGTTTAAAGGTAGCCAACTTCCCCGAGAGCCCCCTGGAAGACGGAGCGGGGTGCAATTAATGGGACCCCCCCCCCAAACTCCCGTCCCCAAGCCCCACATACTGTTGTAATAGGCGAACTGTAGGTAGTTGAAGTGAGACGGGAGGAAGTCTTCGTTGGGTTTCTCCTGACCGGCTTCCTGCGCCAACTCGGTCACGCATCCTTGCTTGCAGTTCAGCACTTGGGTGTAATGATCTGCCCCCGGGAAGGTCCGAGAAAAAGAGGATTACTCACAGGAAGCCATTGGGATCGAGGGTTCGGACATCGTTCTAAGACAGACGAGCGTTTCCCGACTTTTAGGATGGGTGGACTTCAACTCCCAGAATTCCCCAGCCAGTCTAGGTAGATTTTGACTTCCTGTAATCTTTGTGAGCCTATTTGGACTTCACTTCCCAGAATTCCCCAGCAAGCAGCCCGTGTGAACTTCAACTCCCAGAATCCCCTAGCTAGCACACATTGGATTTCGACTCCCAGAACTCCCCAGAACAGCATATGTGGACTTCGAGTCCCAGAATTCCCTAGCTAGCATGCACAGATAAGCCCTCAAGATACAACAGTTGGTTTAGTGAACACATTTCTCACTTAGCAACATAAATGCTGGACTCAATTATGGTCGTAAGTCGAGAACTAACCGTATGGACTTCAGCTCCCAGAATTCCCTAGCCAGCATCTATTTTCTGGTTGACTTTCAATGTTATTATTTTTTAAAAAAATGGATTTTGGAGGTTTCATACACTGCCCAGAATCCATTGGAGCGGAGCGCTCATAACCAATTTAAATGAATAAATAAAATCCCAGAATCCCCTAGTCATGACCGAGTCAGGCATCCCAGATACATGGCCTTCTCCCAGCCAGCAGCCCATAGCTTCCCGCCGAGCCTTATGGGACTTGTTGTCCCGTTCTTTCCCTCCGCTCACCGATAAAGGCTTGGTAGAAGTCGGCATTGTATTCGAGGTAGTTGTAACCATCGTGGTTGTACGGCTCTTCGCAGAGGACCCGGCACTCCTCGTCGGCTACCCAGTATTCATCCAGCGCCTTCTCCAGGTGCAAAATGGCTGCCTGAGGATTCTCCTCCGTGTAGTAACTCACACCCAGGTGGAAATCTTGCTAGGGAGAGAATTGGAGAAGCCAGCTTTAAACCCCAGAAAGCAAAGCTGAACCGTCTTAGCATCTCCAGCTAGCAATTCTATTTTAAGTAGTCCCTGACTTTCGTCCCTCTTCGAGGCCATCGCTAGGCAGTACGGTCGCTAAGAGAGCCACTCCTTCCTACCAGCAAATCTAGCTCTGTTTATCAGAAGTGGGAAGATGGCAAATGCTGATCACTTAATCGAGGGATACTAAAACCGTCATAAATACAGGTGGTCCTCAACTTACGATGTCAGTCGAGGCCAAAGTTTATGTTGTTAAGTGAGTTTTGCCCCATTTTACAACTTTTTCTTTTGGCCGCAGTTGTTAAGTGAACCATGGCAAGTCGTTAAAATAGCAACCTTCCGGCAAGCAAAAGTCAACGGTTCACTTAGCGACCGACTCATTTAACAACTGCAGTGAAGAATCTCTTTAACAGCTGCAAGACAGGTTGTAAAGCAGCTCAAAACTCACTTAACGACTGTCTCGCCTAGCAACAGAAGTTTTGGGCTCAAAACAGTGGTCATAAGTTGAGAACTGCCTTTATGCTTCTGAAACATCACATCACATACATGTATCCATGTGTGTGTGTGTTTATATGTCCATATGTGCGTATATACCGTATATTATATGGTACACGCACACACATTTATAGGTTGTAAACCACCCCGCAGAATCGCTTAGGTGGGATGGAAGACGTAGCACTTTTAATCAATTTCATGCATTTTATTAAATGTAATAAAATATTTTATTCAAGATAATTTTAAATTTAAAAAAAAGCTTCGATAGCATAAAGACACGCCCTGGGTGATTTTCTTCCTTGCTTTTAAGTTTCGTTGTATTTTTTCCCTCCTGCCTTTTTTATAATTTTGCACATTCTTCTTCTCTCTTTTGCTGCAGTTCTGTAGAATTCTACAAGGTTCTGCAATTCCTTTAATTTAAAAAAAGGGGGAGGGGGGGGGAAAGGGTGTGCATCAAACTGTGACGTGACCTCACCATGTGGGGTTTAGCCTCCAAATCAATAAAATCCGAATCTTTGACCCCAACCATCATCTGGTAATAAGCCAGGTTCTGCCGCATCTCGGCGTGGTCCGGATTGGCTGAGAAGAAGGTCTGGGCGGCTGCCACAGCCTTCTTCAGCTTGTTGATCTGACAAAGAAGAGAAATTCTGATATTTTGGGGGGGGAAAGAATGCGGCTGTATTTGGATTAAAAGAGAGACAGAGAGAAAGAAAGAGGGAGAAAGAGAGAGAGGGAGAGAGAGAAAGAGGGAAAAGAAATGAAAGAAAAGGAAGAAAGCTGAGGAAGGGATAAGGAGAGGAGAGCAGAAGGTAGAGAAGGATCAAAAATGGGAAAAGGAGAGAAAGAGAGTGAGAAAAACGGAATGAATGACCAGAAAGAAAAGAGGAAGAAGGGATAAGGGGGAGA